GCCACCGCCTCGGGGCCGGGTGTGGGCGGGCGCTCGGCGTCCGCTCGGGCCGAGAGGCCAGGCGGGCTCCCGGCGCGAGTCCGCCCCGTCCCGCTCTTCCCCTTACCACGTAGCCCCCCCACACGTAGAGGAAGTTTCCGTCCACCACGGCGCAGTGACCGCTGCGCTCCTCCGCCACGCAGAACGGCTGCGAGTCCGCCATCCGCGCCGTCGCCGGGTCCAGCCGCTGGGCGCGCCGGAGCCCCTGCCCACGGAGCGGCCTCTCCCCCCGCCGGGCTCCTCCACGCACGAACGGAACGCGTCGAGGGTCGAGATTGGTGGGAAGGCGGAACGAGTGCGTCTGCGCCGTCCCGCAGCCCGCCCGGGAAGCCCGGCCCAGGGTGGCGTTGCCCGTTAGGGATGCTCGGGTCTGAGCAGTGACGGAGGTGCCTTGGCTTCGGCACCCTGCCACCTGCTGATTTCTTTCCGCTTGGGATCGCGTCGTTTTGGCAGTACAACCTAACTCTGTATCTTATTCCCTCCATAAATAGACTTCTGGTCCATAGAGTTGATGCTGCCGTGACATATTAATTAATTAATGCTTTGTGTGGGCTTCCTTTTCCATTCAACCGCCAGCAAAGACGGTTATCCACAAGAATGGGGGGGGGTGTTTGTATGTATTAAATAGAAATATATATATATATATTTTTTTTTTTTTCTTTTTTTCATTAGGGATTTTCTAAAACGTCTTCCAGCAAACTACGGCCTGGGGGCCAAAGTCAGTCTGCCGCCTGTTTTTGTACGGCCCACAAGCTAAGGACGGTTTTACATTTTTAAATGGTTGAAAAAAAATCTAAAGAAGAACGCTGTTTTGTGACTCGTGAAAATGAGAAGAATGCAAATTTCTTCATCTGTCCATGAAGTTTTATTGGCAGTCAGCCACCCTAATTTGGTTAAGTGTTGACTACGGCTGCTTTAACCCCACAACCACAAGGCTGAGTGGTCTGAGTTGAGCAGTTGCAACAAAGACCATATAGGCCACACTGCTGGAAATATGGACTCTCTGGCCTTCCTACAGACAAAGCTGGCGAACCCTTGTCATTAAATGATGCTACCGAAGTAAAACTATGGTCAGGAAGGAAGATAATTCCGCCAGTGTCTGTAAATGTGCTCGTCCAGAGCCATTCTTTGAAGAGATTGTGGCTGCCCATGACTCAGAACAAGTTCGTTCATTAATTCATTTATTCCGTACATATTAAGTACCTGCTTAATCTGCTTAATGTAGATCCTTGATTCTCAGGCTCTTTTAGACTGGAAACGCTGAAGGACTCAAGTATTATTGAGTCCCCAGAACCTAGTACCAAGTACATAATAAATATTTGTTGACTGAACGAAAAGACAAAGTGAATTTTAAGATAGTAAGACATAGTTCTATCACAAGGGCTTCAAAATCCAATCAGAGGGAAACATATATAAAGAAATACATGTGGTGTGGGATGAGTTGTATAGTTGAAATGTGGATAAAATACAGAAAAATGGGAAGGAAAGATGTGATCTATTGAGGAAGGGGGTGTACAAAAAGAGACACTTGAGGTTTCATACAGGTTGTATAAAGTTATTAATATATGTAACCCATATGCCCACGGGTAGGTCTTTGTCCCAGGAACCCCCTTTCCACCTGCAGTGGAATTCCAAAGCCCTGTCCAAGATTTCTGTAAATTCTTAGGATTATAATCTCATAGTCACTTCTGGCTTTAAACTCCTACTGCTACTGGAACAATCCCACTCACAGACGTACGGATCTTCTCGCTATGGAGCGTGCTATATCTCTTCTCCGATGCATCATTCCAGGCATGACACTCAGAAGCATACCATATTTTCTTTAAAAACCCACTCTTAAAAGTCATTTGTATTGCTACTAAATTTTACTGAAATGAAAGATAAAAGTAAAAAGACGATGGAGAAGGGTTTATATCATAGAAAATAATTCCAAACAGAACATTAGATACCCTTGTTCCTCAAACTCCATTAGCCACCCCATCATTGTGGCCTTTGTCAAAGATAAAGTCAGACACTGGTTAAAGAGGTGAGGATGGATTTTTTTTTTTTTTCAACAGTAAACTACTGACAGAAGGAAGGGGTTCCAGTATGACCTGAAATCAACTTTATGGAAACAGAAGGCTGGAGACTTTCAAAAGGCAGGGAGGGGTGTGCTAAGGGAAGGCACTGAGGAGTGCTGAGGGCGGGGATGATCCATGTGACTAAGCCATCTGGGCTTGCTAATTGGAGCCTAACCAAGGGAAGAAACAAACTTCTATCTTTATGACCAGAGCTGGTTGTGCAAGTTAAACAAGCACCCACCAAAGTTAGGCCTGTATCTTCCCACTCAGGAACTGGGATTGAGAGCCACAGTTCTCTCCCTCAATGTTTGCATTTCAAAAAGACAGCTCTCCCATCTTCAGAGAAAGGGTTTGGGATGGTAGGTTTACATCTCAAAGGCAGAGAAAGTATAATTGCAAACTTTCTAAAGTAACTGCTGTAAGAGAAGGCTCAGGATCTATCTGTCTACCACCAGATTTGGGACTGGAACAAACAAAATTCTCCTGGCAGCCTTGAGCTTTTTCAGGAAGGGACTCTAAGGGGTCCTGGGGTCATTCTAGGGAATGTGGCCTTGAGCTGTTAGAAACAATGCTAGCGTTCAAGTCTCTAAGTGTGTGTACACAGGAGGTGTGGGGGATGATATCATTTGTGCTGAGAGTATGCAGTTTTTATAGGCCAAGGTTGAGACCTAGCTGAGAATAGTGCTCAGGTGAGCATGACTAGAATTTGGTCAAGGAGAGAGTCTTGGTCACGTTTTCACTGGCCTTCTCTCCTTAGTCCCCAGCCTCAGAACATTTGCTGACTCCTCTCTATATTCTTTCCCTCCAAGATTATCCCCAAGGAATATTAAATTCTTCTCTATTTTTCAGAAGAACTCAGGCTACCAAACTCCTTCCCAGATTCCCAAACTTGGCTCTAAGAGCATCTTTCCTTGTCTAACCCCACCAATGGTAGAAAACAAAAAAGGCATGAGCAAGACCCAATTCCCTTCAGAGCAGTTGTAATTTTTTTAATGGTTTGTATTTAATAATGAGGAAGGACAAACAATATTTTAAAGCAAAAAGAATAATGTCAAAACGAGTGCCTCTGTACTCACCACTCTTTTAAAAAAAAAAAAGGATAACCCCTTTGCCAGCCCTTCTCAGACTCTTGTCCCCCATGCAGCAGTAATCACTAGACTGAATTTCACATTACTTATTCCCTAGCTCCTCTTTATAGTTTTACCACACAGATCATTTTTGAACTTTGTATAAATGGAATCATGCTGTATATATTCTTCTAAGATTTGCTTTTATTCACTCAACATATGCCTGAGGTTAACTCCCTTGTGTAGGGGTATAAATCTGTTTTTCCATTGCTAGCACATTTTATTGTATGAACATTTTGGAATATATTTATCCTTTGTACTGTTAAAGGTCACCTAGGTTCTCCCTAGTTTTTACTATAATGACAAGGTTATTAGTAAATATTTTAGGGTTTATGGACCACAAAGTGTCTGTCAGAACTATTTAATTCTGCCTTTGCCACATGAAAATAGCTACAGAAAATACATAAACAAACTTGGCTATATTCCAATAAAACTTTATTTATGGACACTGAAATTTGAACTTCATATAATTTATATGTGTCACAAGAATTCCGGCCTCTCGTCATGGAGACAGAGAGAAGTGGACAGGGTTGAGAAATACTTAAAAACTAGAACCCAGCGCACCTGGCTGGCTCAGTCAGTGGAGTATGCAACTCTTGATCTTGAACTCTTGACCCACCACATTGGGTATAGAGATTACTTTTTAAAAAACAAAAAGTACAACCCAAGGGACTTGGTGGCTGATTGATTTATGGGGGATGAAGGAGAGGGAGGAGTCAAGGATGCTGCCTAGTTTACTAGCCTGGTCAGTGGGTGAAGAGGTAATGAATTAGTGTAGTGAACATGAGAAGAGGAACATATTTGGGAGGGATGATGGTGAGTTCATTTGGGGGCATACTAAGTTGGATTTGAAGCAGAGAGAAATAGGGGCTAGAAATACGGATTTTGGAGTCATCAGCATAGAGTTGCTCACTGAAGTATTAGGGCTTTATGAGCCAGCCAGGTGAAGGAGATTTGGATGGCAAGTTGGTGCTGGCTGTTGGCAGGAGGCCTTTACATCTTAACACGTAGATCCTTCTATAAAGCTGCTGGAGGGCAGGGGTTTACCCAAGAACTAGTGACCCAAGAGAGAGCAAGACAGAAATAGCAATGTCTTTTATGACCTGTCCTATCTACAATATCCTACTGGTTATACAGGTCAGTCCTCTTCAGTGGGGGAGGGGAATACACAAGTTGTGAACACCAGGAAGCAAAAATCATTGGGGGCTATCTTAGAGGCTGGCTACTACAATCTGGATGGTTGCTTCCATCTGTTTTCTCCCATGACACTAACTTTTTGAAGAGAACAGGCCAGTTGGCTTTTAGATTGTCCCACATTCTGGATTTGTCTGATTGTTTCATCCAGTTGTAATTTAACTTAGTTCTCTCTCCTCCATGTCTTCTTAAGCCAGAAGTTAGATCTACACTTGATTAAATTGAGCTTAGCATTTTTGGCAAGCATACTTCATAGGTGACATTGTATATGTCATATTGCATTACAACCTGTAACAAAGCTTCAAATTAGCCCCCTTTTAGTGATGCTAAGTTTGATACTTGGTTATCTCTGAATGATTCATTTTAAGAGTAAGTTCTCTCCTTTGTATTATTACTTTGTTGATCTGGAGGGTAATACTTTGGGACTGCACAAATATCTGTTCCCCAAAACTCTTATCTGATGTTTTCAACATTTTATATCCCTATTCCCGCCACTTTCCTGCCTATAGATAACCATTTGTTTTCTGTTTATCCTTCTAGTGGTTAAACAGATACAGTCAATGATCATTACTTATGCATTCCATATTTGTGAATTTATCTACTTGATAAAATTTATTTGTAACTCCCAAATCATACTGGGGGTCTTCACAGTCATTTGAAGACATGCACAGAGCAGTGAAAAATTTTAGTTGCCTATCACACACGTTCGTGGCTGAGATTGAACAAGATGACACTGTTTTCTTTCTTCATCTCTCATCCTATAAACAAGTGTCTATGCCACATTTTCTGCATTTTTATGATTTTTGTTGGTGATTTTGCTGTTTAAAATGGCCTCCAAGCATAGTGTGAAAGTGCTTTCTAGTGTTCCAAGG